TTTAAGCCATGCAACTTTCGTTCGAAAAATTTTTCAATAAAATCATCGATTTGCGGCCATATCGCTTAAAGTGAAACACCCTCTATATACAGGGTGTACTATTTTTAAAAATCCACCCTCATAATTCTTCAGTCAAGTATATTCAGCAAAAATGTTTCAGACAAAAGTCGGGTTCAGAGGGGAACATTTGAAGGTGACTTTGACTTTGACCTTGAAGGTCATTCTGAAAGCTATTCGAAAGTCAACTTTGCTTTTTAAATAGAAACATTAATTTTTTCTTAAAAAGTGACCTGAACAAAAGTTGCTCGAGTCTAAAAGAACTATCTGGTGGTGATCTTGGATTTAACCTTGGCCCTATCTTTCATGGTTATTTGGAGGTCAACTTTGCTTTTTTAAATAGGAAAATATATTTTTTATTACGGAATTTTATTCTACGTAAAGAAACTAACAACTTTTGTTTGAAAAAAATTTTTATATGACCTCTATTTTCTAAGGTATTTACGGAAATATCTACAAAATTATTGGATTTAATAATTTTTTACTGGAATTCTATCAACTTTAGCGAAAAATATCAAGATATAAAAATTATCCATTTTCTTCTCATATAGCTCTGAGAATTCTTTCAGAATTTCTTAATTAACTTCTTAGTACTGCATTTTCTTGAAGTACTAAAAAGTTTATAAAAAATTCTAAAAAAATTCTCAGAGCTCTGTGAGAAGAAAATAAACAATTTTTATCTCTTACTATTTTTCGGTAAAGTTGATAGAATTCCAATAAAAAATTATTGAACCCAATATAATAATTTTGTAGATATTTCTGCAAATATCTTAGAAAATGGAGGTTGTATAAAAAATTGTTTCAAACAAAAGTTGTTAGTTTCTTTACGTAGAATAAAATTTTGTAAGAAAAAAATGTTTCTATTTAAAAAGCAAAGTTGACTTTCGAATAACCTTCAGAATAACTTCCAAGGTCAAAGTCAACGTCACCATCAGATGTTCCTCTCTGAACCTGACAACTTTTATCTGAAACATTTTTGCTGAATATACTTGACTGAAGAATTATAAGGGTGAATCTTTTAAAATGGGCACCCTGTATATACAGGGTGCGGCGTCAAAATCCGGACAAATTATACATTTTTTCCAAACATATTTTTTATTGCAAAAACGAAAAGGTTTACAAAATTTTTTTAACCACATTGTTAGGCCATAAAGAACACATTTACTCAATATATCCCCCGCTTGCAAATTTGATTTTAACAGTTTTATTTACATAAAAATGTAATACAAAATAATATAATGTCATTTAATAGTAGAATGCATCGCCATAGTTTTACTACTGAAAATTTTATTTTTTAATCGCCCTTTCTTGCAATCAATTTTTATGCGAAATCGAAATCTTATCGAAAAATCTTTTTCCGTACTATTAAAACAATTAGGTATGCAGCAACCAGGCATTTTCTACAAAATTGTATGCAACTTGTAAATATAAAATACAGTATTAAAGGTTAGGAATTGATTTTTATAACAGTTTGCATTTATAATACTTTTTTTCTATATACTTTACTTCATTACAATATTATATTAGAAATTACCTGTTTTATTTGTTTGATATTTTATTATTTAATACAAATTTCACAAGATTTTTTTTCTTTGGATCACATCTATCTATGTCATATCATCACTGTTTTTGTTTTACGACGCCATATTTTGTCGAACTAGAAAGACTGTCCAAACTCTTACTATAGGGTCTCTAAACTGACCGCGTCCCGCGTACTGCGCGCGACATCAAGTCGAACCCCATTATCGCCGAAGCAAAAACCTCTAACAAGGGTGTATACCGAGCGATCATCAACCAACGGCGTCAACACCATCTGTATAAATTTAATGTATATGAACACCAATTTTAAATAGCCGACAAATATTAATTCTATTCCACTGCTTCGACAATTATTTAGCCTCTTACGAACCCGAACCGACGAGCGTAATCCGGAACGTGACGCATCGTGGTTACGCAATTAACACAGTAATATAATTTTTTTATATAATTTAATAAAATGATTTAATTTTAATAAAAATTATATTTTTCGTACTTTTATTGTTAATTTAATTCTTAGATAATGAGGTAAGGTCTACAAAATCCCGCATATTCCATTTCGTTATCTTTCATTTTTTATAGTAAACATTTTTTATTGTTAACTGTTATTAAATAGATAAAGTCATAAAACATTATAAACTGAGTAATTAAAAACGTACAATGAAAAAAAGAAAAAATCCATCTATCTCTATATAAGATTTAATTAGATTAATTGAATTTATATATCAATATATACAACAACGCTTATATTATAAGCGATTTCTGAAATATTTTAGTGAAAAAGATTTTGATGAAATGTTTCACAAATATTTCTGAATTATTTCAATGTTATATTTCAATATAATTTCCAAGTTATCTTTCGGAAAGCTTTTTGAAAGATATTGTGCTATGTGGGATACTATAGTATTTCTAGTAATAGAATGCACATCCAGAGAGTATGTATTCAAACGCAGGCCGGGGGAGGGGGAAGTGGAAGCAAAGCACCATCTTTATGATTTTTGTATTCTCGACAAGAGAAAACCCCCTATGTTTTAATTTCTTGATGTCAAGATATTTAAATCATTATATTCAGAATTCGCTTGTATATATAATGATACAAGTTATTTAAAGTCGTAAACAAGTATTTTCATAACAGTGATGATATGCAACTAAATGTGAAATAGCATTTTCAGGAAGAGTTCCAGTTTTGAAATTATTTTAAATGTAAAAAATTATTTTACTTATTAATTATTTTACTTATAAATTATTTTACTTATTAATTATTTTACTTGTTAATGTGACGTATCAACATATCGTCCGAAAAAAACTAATAATATTTCAATATAATGTCTTTGAAATCACTCTATTTTATTTTAGAGAACAAAAAAATAAATATTTCCAATAAATGTTTTACTAACGTTTCAGAGACATTTTACTGTTGGCTATCATTACTATTTGAATGTAGTGTTTCTGGCAAATTTCACTGATATATATCCGACATTACATACGAAATATTTTTCTGAAATGTTTTAAAATCTCCCTAAAACATGTCATTGAACAAAATCTTAAATAATTTTGATGAAACGCTTCAGACATATTTCTGAAATATTTCAATGTTACATTTCAACATTACTTTCCAAGTTATCTTTCGGAAAGCTTTTTGAAAGATGTTGTGTTATGTGGGTTGTAACACCGTAAACTGCTCTACTGTGTATGAACGTATCATTAGAGGTAAAGTTAGTTTAAGTAAAGAGAGACAGCAAATATATATCCCTCTCTCTCGCAGGATTTTGACAAACTATTCTGTTGCCAGTCTCTGTTTTAGGATCTTTAGCTTGCGCTTGACCTGCCGCTTTCCGCATTGCGCCGCTTCGCGCCTCTTGCATGTCCCCTTGCTAGACCGAGCCATAAGTATGTCGCTGTGCGGCTCCACCGACGGCGACGCCTAACCACACTCGCGACCATCAACGGCATTGTACAGCCGTGGAAACAATAAATTTATTTGTTAAGTTTTACCATATTAAGGCTTAAGCGGGGAGCACACACTCTTGCATAAAGGCATAATGCATAACGCATAAGAAAATTGAGCAGAATTCTCATTTCTATTGCCATGATGAAAATAAAGGACTCTGATTGGTCTATTTTCTCATGCGTTGTGCATTATGTCTTTATGGAAGAGTATGTGTTCCCCGCTTTACTATCTCTCCCTCTTCTGCGTCCGGTCGAACCCGACGAGTTGTCCGATTGGACTCAGGCTCGAGTTCCCGGTTGACCCGAGTAGGCCGACTTATAAAAAAAACGTTACAGTCTTATAAAAAAAAAAACGTATTGCACATCAAACAAATCATCAAGAATCTCTAAGCTACCTAGATCTTTCAGAGATTAAAAGAATACAAACAAAACTAACATCAATAATAATTTTAAATTAATTAATATTTTTCCATACAACACTACAGTTATCATTTAAACATTTCTACCTTTTCCTATTTGATCGCGCATGACATCAATATCTACTTAATGTCCGTTTCTCATCAAATTAAATTACTTTTCTAATGCAATGACAACTAACGATGGTTTTGATGTCATATTGACATCATTTTGATTAACCCATTAAGGTATAAAAAAAACCGCTAAAGATAGGCTTTTAGAAACCATATAAATTAGGGCAAAACATCAAAATTTGTTAAAAAATGAAAAAAGATTTATTGGATTTCAAAATTCAAGATGGAGGTCTAATAAAGCGGACCATAAAACATAAAAATTTGAAATTTTGATCTGTTTGAGTAAAAATCCATATAGGGAGGAAATACGAAAATTTTACTAAGTAATTATAAGCTATAGCTTATAATTTGGTTGAATTTTTCGCCAAATAACAAAACTGTTAAATTTTCGTATTTTTAGGCGTCCATGGATTCGCCATTATGAATTTTGAAAAAATAAGTGCATATTCGTACTCAGCGATCCAAAAACTCCCCTATACCTATACGGATTTTCATTCAAATATATTAAAATTTCAAATTTTCGGTCCGCCTTATTGGTCCGCCATCTTGAATTTTGAAATCCAACAATTTTTTTTACTTTTTAACAAATCTCGACATTTTGCCCTAATTTATATGATTTCTGAAAGCCTATCTTTAGCTGTTTTTTCTCAGGCCTTAATGGGTTAAGCTGTAATCGTTTAATATTTCGCGATTGTATTGTTTACGTTATTGTTCAAAGCTTAAATTTATAGGAATACGGCAAACTAAGCAGCTGACACAGTCAATCGTGCGTCGGCCCTTGTATCAGGAATGTAGAAAATAGACGGACGGTTGCAATAGTTGAGTGAACCAGACGTTGCATAACTTTCTCTTCTGATTTATTGACTGATTGAAATTTTTTCGAAAATATATTTCACATAAATATTATGTTCATATTATCGTATATTATGTTATAGTGGACAGTGATATTTTAATTAAGCATATATATCAATATACATATATCAATATTGATGTATTATTTGTTGATGTACGTCAATTTAACCTGTCACTTCTGTGAATGAGAGTCTCCTGCGACAATTCTTAGCTGAGAAGTTGTTTTCCATCGATTTCGTAACAAAGTCAGTAGTATTGCGATTAATAAATTCGCTCCAAACATTTATAGGCTCTTGTTCTTCATCATTCGATTTTTTCGAAACTACATCAAGGCTCTTTTTATTCTTGCCGCATAATTCTTTCTCAGCTATTGTTGCGGGTCTTTTTGTCTCCAGCATTTTGTCTCTATTATATTTCGCCCAGCAACACTCAAAATTCATAAAAACATCCTTCCAGATGCACAGTTCCTCCACTAAAAAAATGTTTAATCATAAATATATAATTAAATTATTATAATATTATAATTTAATTATAAATTAAAATTTATAAATTATAATTTAATTATAAATTATTATAATTATAATTTAATTATGATAACTTAACATAAAATTTACAATAATATTTAATTATGATAACTTAATATAATTTTTTAAACATTTAAACATCACTAGTTTGAATGAGCGAGTTGTATTATTTAAATTCAACTCGTAACGTAATGACTTTGTGTAACAATAAAAGAAATATAAGTAATATTTTACTATGTATTGTTTTATCTGTACCATATATAAGTAGTGTTATAAATATAAAGAATCCCGCGGGTATGTTTGCGTTAGGTAACATCGTGTACGCCAATCCGAAGAGGGTCGGTCCTTCATAAAAAGCTATTCCCTCGATAGTATTAACAAGCCATGGCAAATATAAATATGGAACCCCATATACGTCTCCTATTGCCAGCATTACTGTTGATATGAATGCCGCGAGCACGTTTGTCACTATTACCTTGATTCGCAGATCTGCATTAAATAGCAAGTAATTTTCTTTCTGTACATTTTATATATACATATATTAATGCTCGTGTGTGAACAAATGTTGTGAGGTTGAGGTTCAGTTACTGTAATTTCGGCGCAATAAGTTATTGTAGACGGCGAATCTCGTCGGCGAGGTGGAACGGAGCGAGCCGCGCGAACCGGCTTCTAAAGCGATTGTGCTTAAACAATTAGTTACGAAACACATTAAGCCTAGATATAGCATCTATAAAGGAGAAGGACAAGATTCAGTGGGACTTTATCGAGTAAGTAACAGTAATATTCAAGCATTTTAATCCTTTGGATCATACTCTTCAAAAGTGTACCTTGAATTTCTTTATGTCACGATTATCTTTAATTTTTGTGTCACAACTTGATGTTTCCGAGTCGACAGTCATTATAATAAGCTTAAACTTTCTGTTTGAATTTCCCAGGGATTTTTTGATTTACTATTACGTTGGCCGCGTAACGTTAGCGATATTAAATTGGTTATAATTGATTATACACGTGTCATTCATACTTCGTCGGAAAATTTAACGGTGCGAACGGTAGTGTCAACAAAAGAAGAGACAAACTGTAATCAACAAACAGTATCCAACTTCAGATACATATATGTTTCGTTCTTTCCTCCATATTCTCTACACATAGAAAAATACATATTGAATTCAAGTAAATGTTACTTGTTTCAAGTATTTCATAAGTTTATACATTCGCAAATCTACCATAAGTTCGTCACAAGCATATCAAATTTACTCAAAATATATTCTGAAGCCCAATAAGTTTAGTATTATGATAAAAAATATTAGAATAAAACAGAAAACCGATTTATTTATTACATAAAGCCAAATCAGCCTTTTCTTCGACAAAGTTTTACAATATTCTTATAAAGAGGATAAATTCTTCTTCTAAATACGTAACCTAACTACGTAACGTAACTAAATACGTAAAATCAATTCTTCTAAAATTTGTGATGAGTATATATTTTGTAGCTTTATATCAAGAAAACTATTGTGTTGAAAATAATAGTTACTTAAAAGAAAGAAGATAAACTGAATTTGTTTTTGTAGAATATTTTTCTGTGTTTACAAAGTATCCCAGACTTTCTTCCGTAATTTTCGTGGAAACGTAGAATGGATTGAGGTGAATATAAAAGTCCCATACCATTTTGCGATATTCGCAATAAATTTGGAAATATTGATTAAAGAAGATTAAATGATCACGTACGATATGGTAGATAAGTTGTAGTGACGCCGTTAGCCGTTGTATACTTATATATTAGGTCAAACTGAACGAAAAAGTCATTTTGCAAGTGACCATATAGAATTTTAGATATTAATTAAAGAACCTGAGTCAAAATTTTGACCCTATGTTTGAATTCTACAACGCAGTAGAAACTAAGTTAGCAAAGTAGATTTAATTCTAATGATACAATTTATTCTTACTTTGACCCTGATGATATTTGAAATTTCCCTTTTCACTTTTTTAGCGTCAAAATATGTATTATAGTAGAATGTTAATAGTAATGCTGAAAAATAGGGAAAAAAATAGGGAAAAAATAGTTAAAATTTCGACTCGGATAGATTAAAAAGAATCAAAAGAAGTTTAGGTTTCAGAGTAATAAAATAGGTGTTAAATAGAAAAGTAAAGTTGAAAGTAGAATCAAAATTTCGACTCGGGAAGATTTGTGCATTATTACGCACAATTATGTAAAATTTTTATTTCATTAATAACTAAAAATCTACGTGGTTATTTGCAAAATGATTAAGGTCTTTTTTGTTTAATTTGACTCAATGTACAAGCACACATTGTCACTACAATTCATCTACTATATTGCGCATGATTATTCATCAATCTTCTTTAATTAATATCCAAACTATTATTGTAAATATCGCAAAACAGTATAACTTCATGTTTACCTCAATCCGTTTTACGTTTCCACAAAAATTGTGGAAAATTTGGGACATCTTATATATTTCCTGGGAAAACCTAAAATTTTCTCGAAATATTCTTCTACTTTGAAAAATCTAGGAATTTCAATAAAGTTTCATCAAGACTCTATGATTTCTTTTTTTAAATTGGCTCTGATAATTTTCTAATTATACTTAAGATTCTGAATGAATATATTTGGAAAGTTAGAAAATTGAAGTGTTTTTACAAGATACGAGTAGGCATTCTGAATTTTATTACACACATTTATACACACGCGCACACACTTATGCACAGAAGATAAAAGCTGCAACTTGTCCGAGAGGCTTCTCACAATTCCAATCCCCACGAATCATCTTCAGCCGTTTAAAATCTTTGTAACGTCGCCGCAGAGGAGACGATCGGCATCGTGTGCGGCCCGAAGATCCGCTCATTGTTTCTCTAATGCATATTGACTATTAACAGCAGATCCGTTTACCTTATAGGTCACGTCGCGGTCATGTCACGTCCTTATTCGCTAAGCAGTCTCATCGCTCCCGATCATCTTCAGGTCGGCGTCCATATTCGGCGGTCTCACCCACAGACAATGCCAGTCGCATTCATAAAAGCGTCCACTTGTTTGGTGAGTAGAACGCATTAAATACCTCGGGCATAAGGCGACAGGACATCATCGAGTTTCAGCACATGACACCTCAGACAAGCGCGCCGTGCTCGTTTTCTGCCGTGGCACTTCGTCTCATCCAAATCGAATTCACCGAAACACTCGTTCGTCGAAACATATTAAGACGGTGAGAATTTTAACACGCGATTATTAGGCCCGAAATGAAATTATTAACATTATTGTCGGAGAAAGAACAGAACTAAAACAATAATCAATAATCGTTATAAAATTTACACCCGTTGCTTTGCTCGATACGTTGTAAGATTTTTCCATCGTAGATTCCTTTTTTTCGTTATTCTGTCCATTAAGATAAAAGTACTTCACATTTGTGACTGTAATAGTGCAATAAAATATTATAGTTAGGAAAATCACATAACAAAAAAATTTACATAACTTTCAGATAATATTTTTAAGACCATTTATATAAAAACAGTTACAAAAAAAAATTAAAATTAAAAAGAGATATAAAAATAAATTCATATTTTTATGGAAGATTTTTATTTTTATTCATATTTTTTCCAAGTAAAGCAACTTCAAAGATTTGAAGATTAACTATATCTTTGTTACACGAAAATATTGTAGGTAGCAATAGTTATTGATTCATTCTGTATAGAGAAGATAAATTTTCCTGAAACATAAAAATCACATAACTAGAAAATTTTAAGTGATAGAAAAGAAATTTGTTTGCACATTTTAATTCAACAGAAAAAATACTATATGATGAATCTTCAAATTTATGAGAGCTAACGCGAATGATGATTGTTGCGAATGATTACCTAAGTAAAGGAATGACAGATGTACGTAAGTTTGGCAATAATTTCACTAATCGATTTGTAAAAGTTGTATGCTTTATGAGTGATTCATATGGCATTCATATCTATTATATAGAACGATGGGATAGAGATACCGGAAAAGATATAAAAAAAAAAATGATAAAAATTTGCTCAATGTGTTATGCAAAATGTAATATAAAAATCTGTGAATAACTTTGAGTAAATTTCTTGTTTCTTCGATATAACACGGAATTTACATCATTGTATGATGTCAATTTAATAATTAACTCAATACGTTATATCTGTCTCATAAATGCAATTAAAATAATTGTAAAGTCTACATCATTGATTGTCTCAGATCGTAATAATCCTAGACGTCTATCTAGGCAGTCATCGTGTATCTCTATTGGAAAACCCAAGTACTCGGATAGACTTTCATGATTATCACGACGTGAGACACACAATCGATGATGGAAACCTTACAATCTCTTAATTACATTTACGAAATAAATATATTCTATTGAAAATTTTAATTACTAAATTGACTTTTTGAGAAATTGTTTTCAGCCAATAGTTTTGATACTTCTCTTCGTATTTTTATTTCGCCATTGTATGTGAGAGAGAAATGAATATGATTGCACAAATCTGATCAGTCACATAAGGGACTCGTTGAATTTCGTTATACGAAGGCTATATGATAAGTATTCGTGTTAGGGAAGGAAACGCATTTAAAAAAAATTTTTTTACTTATTTTTCAACATAGTCTCCTTTCAGCTCGATACACTTAATCCAGTGATATTCCAACGTTTTTATACCACCTAAAAAATATGATTTGTCGAACTCCGCAAAATAAGCCTCTATTTCGGCGATTATTTCCTCATTTGATGTGAACCGCTTTCCTCCAAGCTATTTTTTCATGTTTGGAAATAAATAGAAATCGCAGGGGGCCAAATTTGGAGAATAGGGTGGATGAGACAGCAATTCGTAGCGTAATTCAACCAGTTTTGCTGTGGCAATTGAATGAGCGGACGAATGAGCTGGTGCGTTGTCATAATGAAAGAGCACTTTTATTATTCGCCAAATAGGGCTGTTTTCTCTTCAATTCAGCGTCGAATCGGTCCAATAAATCAGCATAGTACTGCCCCGTGATTGTCCTTCCCTTCTCCAAATAGTCGGTGATACCTCGCGAATCTAAAAAAACGGTGGCCAAGATCTTTCCGGCCGATGGAACCGTTTTTGCCTTCTTTGGAACAGGTTCGCCGGATAAAGTCCACTGTTTTGACTATTCTTTCGTTTCTGGCATGTATTGATGGATCCATGTTTCGTTAACAGTGATGAAACGCCGCAGAAACTCTTTCGGATTGCGCTTAAACATGTCCAAACAGTGCTCCGAAGTTGTCATGCGATTCCGTGAACAAACGCCCATCTCACCGATAGCTTTCTCATGCCAAATTTTTCCTGTAGGATATTTTGTGCGCGTTTTGTACGCAATTGAGATATTTACAATGTCAGCAATCTCTCTGATTTTCACCCGGTCTGCTAACACGATATCATGGATTTTGTTGACCATATTCTCCGTAATCCATTTCAATCGGACGACGCTCTTCATCAAAAACGGATGTTCGGCCACGCTTGAATTCATTGAACCAATATCTGATGTCATGGTCCTTATAAACGGCATGCAACTTCACTTTGATTTCCTCATCGTCTTTCCATCCAAAAAAAGGAATCGAATCACTGACCGATATTGCTCTTTTTCCATGGTTGCAAACAAACACAAACTCGTCCACTTTCAACAGTTATCAAAACAAAACTACTCTATAAATTTGTCTGAAATTTTGACTGGCGTCGTTCGGAAAATGGCGTTAAACGATGGTATACAGACTTTGAATCAATGACGCCATCAGTCGTTAAACACGAGTACTTATATTTGAAGCACTTGTATATTTGAAGTTAATATATTTGAAGTTGCTTTAAGAGAGATAAACACTGTGACAGTCGAAAAAATAGCTCTTTTCAGCAAATTTTTTGTGACGTCCATAAAGCAGGTAGACAAATAAATGTTTTTGCATTGATTTGGTCATCTTTTCAATTGTTGAAAAATAATTTTCTATTTGATGAAATATATTTTTATTTTGGTATAAAATGTGTCAGTAGTAGGCTCTGCAAGCTCTGCACTTGGAGTCCTTAAAAGTTATCTGACATAGAAAACCCAAGATTTTTAAAATATATGAATGTAGTTTCAATTAAGTTTTAAAAACATTTATCTATCTGCTTTATGAGCGTCACAAAAAATTCGCTAAAAAGAGCTATTTTTTTTACCATCACAGTGTTTATCTTCCTTAAACCTGGTGTTATTATACTGATAATATGCGGTTTCTATGAAGAAACATATATAAGAAAATATAAATGTAAAACGATCTCCGAGCAGTCGCGAGACCCTTAAAAAGTATATCTTCTTTTGTGAAGTGACCATACTATTTTTTTCTACATAAAATGTTGCCCAACGTAATGACAACGACAACGGACAAGATTTTCTTAAAGTATATGAATGCAGTTTTAGTTAAGTTTCAAAAACATTTATTTATCTACCTGCTTTATAGGCGTCACAAGAAATTCGCTAAAAAGAGCCATTTGTTTTCGGTCGTCACAGTGTTTATCTTCCTTTAAGTTCACGTATGTACCCTCGTGGTCGGAAAGGTGGTTTGGTTTTTTTGTTAGTTTAGGACCTGTCCTTTTCTTTTCTAATGGGATAATTTTTTTTGCAATAACAGAGCTCTTTCATTGGACGGATAGATTCTGAAATTTACAAAAAAACCAGACAACCTTTCTCTCTCTCTCTCTCTCTCCAACCGACATCAGTCTATTGAGAACGGGGAAAGGAGGAAGGGAGGTAGTTCCGAGATAAGTTCCGAGGTAGCAGGCGAGCAAGCGCGGACGCTCACGAGGAGACTTAGGGCGTGCCGGAGATTACGATCAATCCGCTCTTTAAATTCTTCGCGAAAGCTGCCCTCGATACAGCCTCGACGCGCAGATTCTCGTCTGACATCCCGGTCGGCCGTTTCGGCGTGACACACACACACACACACACACACACACACTCTCTCAGCTGGTCCGGTAGCGTATGCATATGTAGGTGTGTGCATATGTCGTACGCACACTTACCCCTGCCCGAAACGATGCGTAAACGCACCGTGGCCGATACGTACCGCGCGTACACGCACAGCTACGACACGCGAGGACGTGTACGGGGACACGACGAGTACGTGTCCTGCGAGTGAGAGGTGATCGTCGAGGGATAGATGCAGAACCGTGTGGCTCTCTGTGCTTCCGCATGGACGGACAATCGCCTTTTGACGTGCGCAGCGGCGTCGCTAGTCGCTCCTGCGCCCTGAACATGACCGTCTTCTTCTTCGTCTTTCGTTTTATTTCGAGTTTCCGAAAAAACTTCCGAAAAACTAAAGGGAACTTCACAAAAATAACTCCTACAATGACACTTTACTCCTCTTCTTCTAAGTCAAATAAGTAACATTTTTGCTTTGTAATTTTGCACGTCACTTTTGAGAATTTCTGTTATCATCCATTCTAATATTTGTTTGATTATTTTTCTTTACTGTTTACTATGTCCTTACTATTTACTACTGTCTGTATTATTTCTTGCTATTTTTATAATTGATACTAGTTCTATAATTCTTATGACTGATCTCTATAATTAAGTTGCCGTCTTTATATTAATGTCTTTTACCATCTTTATTATCTGTGTTATTTGTTTCTTTACGTAAATGTGTACTGAGGAATAACGTAAGTTTGTGCTTGGGAATAACGTAGTCTAGGATATTCTTTTTTTTCTTTTTCTCGGTCGTTTCTTTTTCCCTCGACGGCACTGTTCGTTCGCGCGAGTGCGTGTGCGCTGGTCATCGAAGAAAGCTCCTCCGCGCTTGAGTAACGCTACGGGACTCTCGTGGGTCTCTTCTCTCGGCTCTGGATGACCGCGGCCCGATCGCCGGCCGCATGAGCATTCGAATCACGCCGCTGGAGCGAGCACGTAACAATTTCTGTTCTTGGGATTGGAGCCACCGGATCGTCGATCCTTTCGTTCCTCACTTCGACTTCGCGGCGCGCATTCGCGTCGGAACGATTCGGACTTCTCCTCAGCCCTTCAGCTCAGTGCACACACGTTTAGCCATAAACGCAGTACAATAAAAGCCAATATGAAATTACACAATCACAATTTCGCATCAACTATTATATTGTACCGAGAATCTTGCATTATTGACGTTGTAATTCGTTATTACTCCCTGACGAATCACCTGAGAGAATCAATAGTTATTGAGTTGTAATACTTACGGTTTATTGATTTTATTCAGATCGGTCGTCATATCTTCACTGATGTATGTAAATTTCACAGCAATGTTAAGTATATTATGAAATTCAGTAACGTTGAAATTGATCAAATTATATTTACATTTATCACACAGAATAATAACATAGAAATATGAAAGAAATATGAAAAGAATTATCAAAATTTTCCCTAAACAATATATTATGTTAAATATAAGACGGAAATCTAAAATAACTTTAAGTAAACTTATTATTGTATCAATATAACAACAAATTTATATTATTTTATGAGATAAATTTAATAATTAATCCAATATAATATATGTACTTCATAAATGTAATTAAAAGAGTTGTAAAGTTTACATTGTCGATTATCTCATGTGATAATCATGGAAGTTTATTTAAAATATTTGTTTCCAGATAGATAGTTGTACGTAAATTTGCGTTCCTTATGAATGGTTCATATTGTCATCACTTATATTTATCACGTAGAATGATAAAATACGAAAAGAATTATCAAAATTTGCTCAAAACAACCCAGATAGACTTTCATGATTATCATGACGTGAGATAATCGCTGGTAGAAATTTTACAATTTTTTCAATTATATTCATGAGAGGCAAATGTATTGTATTGAATTCATAATGAAATTTATATCATCCAATGTGATGTAAATTTTGTATTATATCGATGCAGCAGGAAATTCACTTAAAGTTACTTTCAAATTTTCATATTACATTTAACATGACATTGTTTGAGGCAAATTTTGATAATTTTGTTCGTATTTACATTTTGCTATTCGGTTTGTTTTTCAAATTTCGAATTTTTGTTAAAATTTAATATTATTGATTGAAATATTAAGGTTACTAGAATTTAGAATATATTTAGAATAAATTTGATGCTTATGTGAATTTGATGCATTTGATGCGAATTTATGATGCACGGGGGAAATTTTATAATAAAAATTATATTAGAAATCATATTATATTTTTATACTTACATTTTAGAAATTGAAGTATTATTAAAAAATTTACTATATCTCTAGCGGAATTTACTATATTTCTAACGAAATTTGTAATATTTCTAGCAAAATTTACTACGTTCTTCAACAAAATAGAATTTATTTATAGTCTATTACTGCACTACTAAAAATATAGTAAAATTGAAAAGAATTTTTATAAGAAGCAATTGTAATAATATTTTCTTTGTATAGATTTGGATATATAAATTTATAAAATACTTGAAACAAATAACATTTATTTGAATACATATATTTTTCTGTGTATCCTATTTTATATACTTATATTTTTAATTCTAGCCTATCGCGATGCATCTTTATTTGTCGGTATGAATCCTTTGCACTCGTGTGCTATCATTTGCCGAATATTAATTGTAGTGAAGTAGAACATTAATTGTTTTAATTATTTACTTTCAGAAAAGATTCTCTAATTAGGAGAAACATACAAAAACTCGTGACGAAGTCTCGCGAAACGTTATGTTTCTTTTTTGTGTGTTTTTCTGTGTTCTTAATAAGAGAAACAGTTTCTTTTATAAAGAGAACATTCTTATTCTTACAGAGTAAAATTTATATTACAAGCTGACTAATACACTGAATTCAAGATATCACGAGTGTAACGGGTTGAACTCAAACTTAGTCTACACGCTGATCGCGAGAGAATCCAGCGGTCGTGGCGATCGATCCCTCTATCCTCGAGCCACGTCGAGACTTCGCGAAACTTCGAAATGAGCGATCTTCGAAATCGCGTGTCACAACGCCGCGGCGTGCTCAGCACCGAAGTCGACCGTTTTGAGGCCGAAGCTGCTCGGTTTTGCGGGTCAGCGTGTTTCAGATTTCGATCGGTGATGACTGTACGTTTCGACACTCGGATCGCCGGCTGTGTGATCATGGTGCAAGATTTAAGTCTTGATTCACCGGGGGGGTCGACAGTGGGAGGGAGGAGGGGAGGAGGGCTCGATTGATAGGCGCATCAGGCACACGCTGAATTCTTATGCTAATGCGAGAAAGGAGCCGAGAAGACAATACATCTACACGCGAACTCCCGCGGCATCTGTATACACCCTGCGTCCCGTATTCTGTATTCCGTCAAGTGAATTAATACAATCACGAGGACCGCCGGGTGATTTTAGATGCGGTGAGATCGTGGCCGGCGCGCGATCGGTGCTTTATTGAGCTTTCTCATTGGGAAAGGCAGATCGCGGCTAAAGGCGGGACTCGGCTCGGCATGGCTCGGCCCGGCTCGAGGAAAACGCCTTATGCGACTTGTAACGGGTCCAGAATTTACTTTAGCCGGAGAGAGCACG